TTTTGTTTTTGTTTTCGTGTAGTTTTTTTTTTTACAGCTTACCTGTAAATTGATTTTTTTGTGTGTATTTTAAAAAATATTATATGTAATTTAACAAAATAAAATCTGTAAAATACAAGTAATTTTATTTTGTTTTTTTAAGGAGTTAAAAGCTGCATTTAAACAGTGTAGAATGGTTTTTATTTTCCTTTTATAATATACAGTAAGTATTAACTGTTTATAAAAATACAGATTTTTAATGTTGACCTTATCAACGATTTTGGCATGTTTGTTTTTTTTCAGGTAAACAAGTAAATTGATCCTTTTTTTTTTTTCTCCTGTGATTTTTTTTTCTAATTTAACAAAACATTGAAAATCTGTAAAATACCAGCAAATTGTTTTGTTTTTGTTTTTTTTTTTAAAGAGTGAAATGTGTTTAGAAAAATCATTTTTCCAGTAACATTATTTACTATTTATTAACATACAGATTTTTTTGAAATGTATTTATTTATTTTTTTTGAGTAGACATGATAAACAGTTTTGGCCTGTTTGTTTTTTCAATCAACAATTCATTTTTTTTTTTTTCTGTGATTTTACTAGATATTTTCTCTGATTTATCAAAGCGGAGGTTAATCTGTCAGTTCATAATCTTTTTTCATATTTATTTTGTTCCTTTATTGCAGCGCAGCTTCTCCATCTTCTCCTCTCTCCGTGTCTCTGACTCAGACGTCTCATTTCCCCTCTAGAGACACCAACTGTAATAACTTTGAGAGTCTCTGGAGGATTTTTAATCACCTTCAGCCTCCTCCTCCTCCTCCTCCTCCTCCTCCGGTCCGGGGAACCCTGCCGCCGCTCGGCCCGCCGTGGGAGGGGTCTGCCGGAGCTGCCCCTCTAATTGACCGGGAGCAGAGTCAGTCCGGGGCTGCAGACGGAGCGGCTCGGAGCTCCGAACCGCTGCTGCGCATCGAGCTGAATTAGATTTATTAGCGTGTTGCATGCGGGAGCGATGACGGAGCAGACTGGAGTCGAGCACGGGGCTGGTTTGCGCGCATTTGTTGAGCCGAGCTCGCAGGAGACGAGCGCGTAAAGGATGGATTTCTGCTGCGAGCCGCGGAACATGCCGAGAAATTAAAGTTGTTGCAGCGTCTCAGTGACTTCCAGTCGTGTGGCCGCGGAGGACGCATGGGCTTGGCGCATCGGGGAACCCAGCCCGGGCTCCATGGCTGATCTGGAGCTGTTCTACTTTGAGCATCAGCCCGAACCGAAGGACGCCTCGCTGCTTTTGAACAGTGCCAGCGGGGGGAAGTGGCTCCATCCCGACGGAGGAGACGCTCCGGAGCCCCGGAGAGCTGCGCGCCCGGAGGAGGAGACGTCCTTCACCCGCAAACATGAGGAGCAAGGGGAGGAGGAGGAGGAGGAGGTCCAGCTGACTCAGAGCTCCTCCAGTGAACTGTACGAGGAGGAGGAGGAAGAGGAGGAGGTGATGGAGGAGGAAGAGGAGGAGGAGGAGGAGGAGGACATCCAGGAACTTTACTTGCTCTCCGACGACGACCTCTCCTCCGACGGCTCCGGGAAGTCGGTGGATTACGGCTTCATCATCGCGGTGACCTGCCTGGTGACCGGCATCTCCCTGGTGGCCATCTCCTACACGGTGCCCCGGGACGTGCGGGTGGACCCGGACAGCGTGTCGGCCCGCGAGATGGAGCGTCTGGAGCGGGAGAAAGCCCGGGTGGGCGCCCACCTGGACCGCTGCGTGATCGCCGGGCTGTGTCTGCTCACCCTCGGCGGCGTGCTGCTGTCCACGCTGCTCATGGTGTCCATGTGGAAGGGCGAGATGATGCGCAGGAGAGCCTTCGCCTACTCCAAGCACGCCGCCAAGCTGTACGGCTCCGTCAGCCTGAGAGGAGGCTCCAGCCCGACGCGTCTGTCAGCGGCTGACGAGGATTTAGAGGCGCTCAGCTGAATTTAGGGACAGGACAAGCGGAAAAGACTCAGAAAGTCTTAGAGGATGCTGCCAGTCCTGTCCTCTAATCGGAGGGTTTAACGCCTTTTTAATTTGTGACAGCAGAGGCTGCCTCCTTTAACCCTCTCAACCCGCTGCCTGGTTTGACTCACTGTTGGCTCATTTTCATACAAACCTGCACCTCTGTGGAAACACAGGAGCAACTTTAAAGTCTCTTTTGTGCAGCTTAAAATAATCATAATGTCATAAATCCTAAAAATAATAATAATTAAAAGGCACAAGTTGAATTTCTTTCATCATAGATTTTAGAAAAAAAAAAATTCAAACCCTGCACAATATATTTCCAGGTGACACCAGAACTGGGAGGATAACTGGAGGCACTACATTTTATTCTAGACGTTTTCCAGCTCACATTTTTTAGTTGTTCTCACACTACACTGCCTGCAGTTCAGCCAGTCCCACAGTTCCTACTTTCTGTTCATGTGACTGTTGGTCTGAGCTGCATGTTTGTCCCAGGAAGTAAAAAAAAAATCTATAGTTTTTTTACAGAGTCTGGTTCCAAAACAAAATGGGGATTTTGGCTTCTTTTATTTTTCACATGAGGCTGTAGATGAAGGTTTGATGAAAGCTTAGATTTTGTTGTTTTTCCTGATTTTTTTTTTTTTTTGGATTATTTTGCTTTTTGAGAAACTGTAAAAACCTTAAATCAAGATGTTCTACGTTTTACTAAGAGCCCAGTTCACCTGAAACCTTTTTGTGACGTGACAGTCGAGTCGCCCATAGTTTAACGGTTGTCTTAAAAAGTGCAGATTTTTATTTATTTGTTTGTTTTTCTCTAGAATCTGCTTATTGGAATTGGTTGGGATCTACACGTTGTCATAGATATGTAACAGGTCACATTTCTAATTTATTGTCTCCACTGGTCCGAGTCACCGATAACCTCATAGCAGCCCCCAAACACTGAAGATGTTTTGTTTTTTACAGAATCTGGTTCGAGCTAACAGATGATTTTTGGTGAATTCTTAAGTGAAGCTGGTAGATTAAAGTGGTTTCACTGAAAGCTACGATTTTATTATTTTTCCTGGTGAAAAGAGAAAAACTAAAGTTGAATTTCTTTAATTTTTTTCTTTTTTTTTTTTAAAATAAAAACACTAGATTCAAGATGTCAAACGTTGCTCTCAGAGCCGACAGGCATTAATGACACTCATTATGACTCACTTTTTTAAAATGAGTTCTCCTACTACGATGCCTGCAGTTCATCTGAGTCCCAGAATTTTTGTCATGTGACTGTTGCACACAGCTGAGTCACACATGGCTTTATGATTGGCTCAAGAAGTGCAGATTTTTTTTAGTATTTTACAGAATCTGGTCAAAGCAGGTGGACAAAATTTGGTGAATTTTTAAATGACACGTGTAGATTTTGATGAATACTTCGTTTTTTTTTTCCCTGATGAAATTGGAAAAAGTTGAATTTCTTCATTTCTTTTGGTTTAAAAATAGTAATAATCTGGAATCAAGATGTCCAACAAAATCCACAAATACTGCAAAGAAAACTAGTGGCTCCAGATGTTTATTTAAATACTCAGCAGTGCACTTCAGCTGAGAACATGCAGAATTCTTTTTATGTGACTTTTTAAAAATTTTTTAAATTTGAACCTAATGAAGAAAAAATTGGAATCAAGCTATCTATCTAGCTTTACTGTTTTTTAAAGAGGCCACAGGTGTTATAGATGCTGGAAAGACAAATGCTGACTGTACAAGCTATTACAGACGCGTCACTACTCACATTTTCATTTGTTTTCACACGACACAGCCTGCAGTTCAGACGAACACCTGGAGAATTTTTGTCACGTGACTGTTGGTCAAAGCTGAGTCACTCTTGGCTCCACAGTTGCCCCAAAGAGTGCAGAATTTTTAGTTTTTTACAGAATCTGGTTAAAGCAAACGGTTCACTTTTGGTGAATTTTTTAAACGAGACGTGCAGATTAAAGTGATTTTGCTGAAATACTGTGATTTCTAGGCTTTTTCCATTTGGAACTCTCGCTGCCTCTGAGTCTGAACGGTGTAATTTGGGCGACTATTTAAATGACAGCGTTTAACAGCTGTGCCGGGGTTCAGAGGGTTAAAGGATGAACACACTTTTTCAGGTTTACCACAATGCAAAGCGCCCATACGGGAGTTGTTGGTTGCTGTAATTGTTCCATCTGTTCATGCATAAAGAGCTCCTGTTCCGATCCCAGGGGGACGGGACGGGGCCTAAAAAAAATAAAATTAAAAAAAAAAAAAAATCCACAGGACTCTTTCTGGGTGGAAAAATCTGAGTAGTTTTGATGTGCAGTTAAACTGAAGTGGAGCTCGGTGAGAATGTGCTGCTTCAGGTACCACCAGGAAGCAGATGCACACAGTTTGAAGGCTCATGAGATGCCTGCACATGGAGGTTTTATGGAGGTTTATGGCTCAGACGGAAAGTGTGGAAATGTATGATTTTGTCTTTTTAAAATAACTATAATAAATGTTATTTCTATAGCGCCTTTAAAACCTGGAGTTACAAGGTGCTCCCAAACAAAGAGCAGCAAAAAACATTAGAAAAAAACAAGACATGCTCGTCTGTGCAGGTGGGTTCTTTGAAAAGGGAGTTTGTTCAACAGCACTGAGGCTAAAACAGTGAAAAAATCAGTTCCATCTTTGTTTTAAACCTGAACCAGCAGCTTATTCTCTGGTCTGAGGTTTCAAAGTGCAGAATAAAGGGTTAAAAAGTTCCAGGATGCAGAGCAGAGCCAGACCAGCCCAGATTTAAAAGTAATAAAGAGATTCTTAAATTGAATTTTGTAATGAATGGAGGAATCGGTGTAATTGAAGCCAGGCCGGAGCTGCTCGTCCGCCGCATTGAGCAGTTCGCTGCCGAGTTTTGAATCGACTGCTGCCCAGTGGTTCAGGTGAATGATGAGCCGCGGCTGCATCCAGGTGGGAGGAAATACAGGTTTCTGGGGAGGACTGGTTTCACTTCGGTTCAGTCGTGTTCGATAAACCAGAAATGTTGCTTCATGTGTTGGTTGAAGTTGGGCGTTTGGGTTGCTTTGTGTTGATGATCAGTGGGGAGGTGTACAGCTGGAAATATAATCAGGACCAGAAATCGAGGTTTTAATCTTATCTGTGCTAAATTGTAGGAAATTAGAAGCCAACCGGTCCTTGTTGCAGAGAATCCAGACTGCCGTGATTTTTAGTGCTAAACGAAACATAAAACGGGGCATCGTCGGCGTAACAGCGTAGTCTCCAGGTGATCCTGTGTTAAAGCTTCCACGTTCTACCTCCTTTTCAACAAGTTCATGTAAACCTCACATGTCCCCAGAAGGTGTATTTTGTTCTATCCAGATGTCTGACTCGGTTTTAACCCTGTTCTGAGTTTGCTGTTTCGGTTTCTGCAGCTTTAAATCCAGCCGAACTGCTGCCTCTTTCAGGAGGAAGGCGACCCTCTGCATTTACTCTGACAATATAGTCACCAGAATTTATACAACTAAGCTGCGTTCTCAACTCTGTTTTGAGGGAAACTTATTTTGCTTGTATTTCAAGTATGTCTTCCTTGAATTTATTGCTTTGCTGTTCTTCAGCCAGCCAATCAGCTATTAGATGGGGCAGGTGTTGTCACCTTGACGACGGAGGTGAAGCTTCAAAAGTGTCGTGACAGGCTCGTATTTTAACTGAAATCAAGATATTTTTCATAGTCCTAACTGTGCACTTTTAAAGCCTAAACCAAACCACAAAACAAATTAAAACATCATCAGAAAATGAAACTTAAATCCAAGACTGATGGTGAATCCCAATTTTCTGATCATGTGGATTACATGAAGCGACACAGATGTCTGTCAAAGTGCAGTTCCTCATATGGCCACTAGAGGCTGGTCTCAAAGTAGAGGCAATCTCCGTTGACCTCACTGTTAAAATGTCCAACTTTAAAGCAAAAATAAACGCGTCTACAGCCTGGTACAGAAGCAGTTTTGATCTCTGTAGTTAAATTCCACATTCATGACAACTGTACGGAGAGTAAATGTTTATCTAAGTAATCCAGTCTCTAAAAATGACTGTACAACTAAACTGGATCAATGTCGTTCTATTTTCTCAATTTTTTCTTCACTTATTTTCTTTTGGATTGCGTTTGTAATGTAGCATAAATCACTCATTTTACTGCCTTACTGTTGCTCCTTCTTCGCAAAACAATTACAAAATAAAAGTGGGTTGAACTTGTCACCCTGGTAACCAAGAAAACTAAGAATAAAGGGTCGTATTTTAACTCAAACCAGAGTTTTGGTGCCTTGACACAACCAGAATGAAAACGAAATATTATCAACAGAAAATTAATCTAAAGCCTGAGACTGACGGTCATGTGATGGTCTTCAGAACTCGGCTCGTTTCAGGCAAGAAAGTGCATTTATTTCTAAACAAATGTACATTTTCCTCAATTGAGAAGTAGTTGCATAGGAACACATTGTGTGGAGACTCAGTGATTGGCAGAGAGGAGCTCAGAGGAGGAGGAGCCACCACCTGGGGGCGGGGCTTATCCAGTTATGACATCACAACAGGTTACACACCTGCAAATTGGAAAAGAAACGTCTTTTCTCGTGTTTGCTGGATTTGTAGACGCTCAGAGAAAACTTAATTAAGCTCAAAAACAATAAAAAGGTAGATTTTACAAGATGTGGCCCCTTTAAGGCTCCATTATAGCATCATAATCAACTTTAATCAAATCCAACACGTGCATTCCCAAGTCTTTTAGCGCAAACCTGGCTTTCTGTGTTGCTATCCGTCTCCTACGGTTCATCAAGATGACACACAGCAAGTGGAAAGCCAATGAGGGAATCTTGACAGCTGCAGAAACCTCATATTAAGTTGCATAATAATTTTCTTTTACATAAAGAGGATTGTGGAGTTTGTGCACCGTCACTCTCTCTTTCGGTGCTGGTGTATTGTGTAAAGACCTGAACAAATGTGAATCTGTTCTCTGA